AATAGAAAATTGCATATTTTTATTAGAAGATGGAGAATATAAATATTACTCCTGAAATCTAGCAAAAATTTTTTAGTCACAGTGTATTCCTAGGTTATTTTCAGGTTATTTCTGGGTTATTTTCAATAATCCCAAAATAATTCAGAAATAACCTACAGACTTTATTTTTGGGTTATTTATGGATTATTTCAGGATTATTGAAAGTAACCTGAAAATAACTCAGGAATAACCTGCACCGCACGTAGAGGTACGTCAGTTGTCCAGACATAAAATACGCGCGAAATCTAGATATAAGTTCTTTCAAAAACTCGCATTGAAACAAATTTACAAGTTATCAATAACCAACCACCATTATAGCTTTGATCTTATATTTTTAATAAAACAATATTAAACTAAATTGATAAAACTTTAAAAAATTAATTTTATTTCTTGTTATAAAAATGCTAGGATAATAAAACATTAATGTTAAGTTGATTTTAAGACTTTTATATTTGAAAGTTTTCATAATAGTAAAGAAAATTTATCGTCTCAGTTTTATATGAAAAACATGCCCTAATATAAACAAACCAAAGAAATTCATAGAAGATAAATGTTTCACATCAAACAAAAAAAGTGAGAAAAATCCAATGAAATTAACCCAATTGAAATAATTTCATTAGTTTTTATCTCAAGTAACAAATAATGTCCTTCCCTAAAATTAGAAAAGGTGTTATCATAATGTCATAAAAATAGACTATGGATGATGTCAATCATAATAGACATTATGGAAACTTTGAGGCATTGAATTTATACTTAAGAGATTGTTGATGCGAGATTGTTGATGGTTAACACAATTATTTTTTTCTAGAGAAGAAAATAATGCAAACCAAAAAGTTTAGTATAAGCCTGGGTGTCAATGTTAAACCTAGACAATTATTGATCATGTCATGCATCAATGTTAATTTTAACAACGTACATTATTAGCTCTGTTGGTAACGATAGATGAAAAGTCAATAGGCATCAACAATAGGATCAGTGATATACTCCAAAATTATTGGCATCAGTGTGTTAGCATTTTTGGCAAAAACATGCCGACAAAGTCAGTAAGTGATAATGTTATTGTCTATGTGGTCATAATTTTTTTTTGAAAATAATGTGTATTGACATTATTAGTGACAATGGGTGACAAAATAAACTGGAATTAACCCTAATGTTGATGCTAATTGACCTTATTAGTATTGTCGAAAATCGACAAATGCAAAAACAAGAAACTAAGTGGGTAAATATCAAATATTGAATGGAAGACTATCCAACTCCAGGTTAAGGTAGGTTCAAGCTCCCATTTCTTCACCCTACCAAGTAAAAAATATAAACAAACAAAATTTAATTTAGGCTAGATGCTCATTTTGATGATGATTAAGCAATAACTTCTCAAATACTTTATCAGACGGTACACATTAATTTGCCTTACATATATATGTGTGTGTGTGTGTGTGTGTGTGTGTGTGTGTGTGTGTGTGTATGTGTGTGTGTGTTTATTGACCTTTGTGACAAAGTTTATTCTTGTCAACTACTTCAATTCCATATGTATTTCTGTGCATATATATCATTTTTAATAATAAAACTATTTTTAAATTAATAATATTTATACACAACAACTTTTAAATGTTAGTTTCTTGAGAAATGTTAAATATTTAAAATATATTTTAAAGTGGAAAATTTATTGCAAACACACACCGCACGGTGTATGTATGCAATAATTTTTCTTTAAAGTGGGATTTACATACATACCGCCAACTTCACACGCATTAATATATAATATCTAAACTTTTATATATTCATATGCAAAATTATTTGTGTCAGAATGACATCAAAACATGCCTCATGCATTAACATATATATATAACATCTAAATTTTTTATATTTATCCATATAAAACTTAATTTATTTTTCATGATGTCATTAAAACATGCACAAAAAGGAATACTTCACCCCAAAAAAATATATATATTAGTAGAATTTTTCTGTTATTAAGGCTTTGGATGTTTTATAAGTAAAAATAAAAATGTATATGTAAATACATAAGAGTATTTTAAAATGTATTTTAAAAAGCATCAAAACACTTAAATTTTTTTTAAAATTAAAAAAAAAAAGTTTCACCAATTATTAAAATATTATGCATAATCTTCAATCCTCTTTCTAAAAATACTTCTCATAAGTAAGAGGATACAATGCTCGTTGTAGAGCTCAGAACTTACTTCGAAAAGAGGTCAATTGTCTCTATTTAAATGAAGTAAATTGGATGTATTTGAAATTCTAAATCTTTTTTTTCTCAATGTTTTCCTCTAATGGAGAATCTAAGAAGTTATTTATTGCAAGTCATTTTGGGTTTTAAATATGACCTATGAAGTATGTAAAATTATCATCTCATAAATGAAAGGCCAAGTAAAATTAAGTTTCCTCTCAATTTTTTTACATGTTGCCAATGTGGATTCCTTGAATGTCTTTTGGTCACTGCATTCATTTGAATGGATTGAATCCTAGATGGATAGAAAAATCACCAAGTTTTTGAGATTCTTATTTTTTCCTTAATGAGAAATTATATGTACTCAAAATTCAACCTAATTTTTATGAGAGATAGTGATTGATATAGAGACATATTTTTAACACAAAGATGATAACCAAAAGGGTCCCTTTAAAATACCAATAATCTTTTCAATGTATTGATTTATTCTTTTTGGAAGGATTTTCTTTTTTTTTCTACCTTTTTCTTTGCCTTTAATGCTTTTTTTACTAAAAGATCATTTATATGTACATATTTTTCTCAAATTTTTTTCTTACAAATTTCATCCTACTTTTATTTTGAGAAAATTTTAATTTTTGGATATCATGATGCTTTCAATATTAGTATTTTAGAAAAATTCTTATGATCAAATCAATCTTCATTTTTTTTTTCAATTAGGTAATATCTTTGTATAATTTCATAAATTTATTGGTTAAAAATGCTATTTTTTTGGTATGGAAAATATTATAAATAACAACTTTATTAAATTTTATGATTTTGTTACTTACAAACTTCTAAATTTTATTGCAACTTAGTTGCTATTCAAAATTACATAAAAAGTCTTATTAATGTTTTGCTTGTGTTGGATCCAAAATTGTCATGAGGATCGCGCCTAAAAGCAATAGAGCGTCAGTTTAATGAAAAGCAAGAGAAATAAGACACATTAACACCCAGTTTCTTAAGATTTTGGTTTGCTTTTTGTGCTCAGAGGAAACCCAATAAATAAGGAACTTTCTGTCTCCCTTATGAACCCTTGAGAGGCCCTACAAAAGATCTAGTTCCCTACCTATATGCCCGAGGTAACTACAATCCCGTGATTGTTTGGCGGCCTTAACTCTCGATGAATGGGTTGAGGTCACTTGGGTCTTGAAAATGAGAAAACCTTTTTCGTTTCTCATTTCCTAGGGCGTGAGTGTGATGTCAACAAAGAATCTTCATTACATGAAAACTTTCACTCGTGGAAGATTTCCTTCATCTCTTGTTGGGCAATTAGAGGTAGATCGATTCATTACATTATGTAACGAACTAGTAACTATGACTCCATCTTTAATCGTAGATCTTGTGAAATCGCTAGGGTGAGTATGTTTCGCCGGCAATGTTAATTGGGTCTCATTTGTTTGCATGCCCTCACATTCATGTAGTGCATTGCGTGAATTTTAAAAATGCATTAAAAACATTCTTTTTTGCATGTGTTGTCGATTGACCACCTCTCACCGGTTCGATTAACACTGTCGGTCGGGATTTTGGTTTTCAGTTGCTTTTTAATTTTGAAAAATAATTTTAATTTAATATATGTATATAATTTTGAAAAATATATTTTTTATTTGAAAAATGAGGCTAAAAAGATCTCATACATTTTAATAGTTTAAGTAATCGAGTGCAACACTACAAGCAATGCACTTATCCCGATGAATATACACATTACTTGACAACAAACCCGATTCAATAAACTAAAGAATTTATGACATTCATTTGGTCTGCGAATATTTTATATATGACCGACAAGTTTTCTTACCTAATATAAAGATTAGATATGGTTTATATTACCTAGGTTCGGTTTACTATAGAGGCATGCCACTATATTTAATTACATCTTAAATGACCGAAGTCACTTAAGAAAACTCTCGATAATGATCAGAGGTCTTCGTCTTCAAGATTTCAAAGTTTATATTTTCATGGTAGGATACAGGGGAAAATCAAGTGGGAAAAGACCAAATATGAGCAGTTATTTTAGGGTCAAATAAGTAAATGGTATGAGATGTCATAGATCTTAAGGAGAGGTGACTTCGCAAACTATCATATGGTTTGGCTTTAATTTTGAAGATGATATTATTTGTGTTTCAATCATGTCAACTTTATTATTTAGGGCTTACATCTGCATGATATTCGATTATGCAGATTGTCTGGAATATATGAGTATTTATGTCGCATCAGACGATGACCTCGAAATCCTAAGATAACCAGTTGTTAATTAATGAGGCAACTAAGCCTTCTTTTTAATTTTTTTTGAATGTTTATTAATTAACTAACTTTTTGTTAGTATTAGATTTAATATTATGAAAAAATATATTAATTTTTTATCATACTTTGATATCTATTTGTCTGAAATAGTCAACTTGGATCTTTTGTTCTAATTTAAATCATAATTATAACTTTTTTTTATAATATTATATTAAATTTGAAATAAAAATAACAAAAAATGAATAATTTAAAATTTATATTAAATTCATTTCATATTAACTTTAAAATTATAAAATATTTAGGTTATCTTGGAATAAAAATATTCCAACCAAAAAAATAGGATTAATTATATTCCACTCAATATGCAATACCTAAAGAACAACACATAGCAAAGTGAAGTCATCTAATTCCATTGGCATTTCATGGCATCCCTTCCAAACCAAGCAAACCATGCAAACCCAATAGATGATCTTTCCACAATGGACAAGCAGTCCAATTTCAAATACAATCCTCCCTTCGTCATCTCCATTCACTTTCCTCTTCAAAACCCTAATTCCTCCAACCTTCTTCCATGAGAAGAAATCTCATCAATGATGCCCGATCCCAAACCCAAAGAATAAACTTCATCAACTTGCAGGAGCCTCCTTGGATACGGTTTGGCATTGTTCCTGGAATGTCAAAAACTTAATCGCAAAGTCACAGAAGAAGTCATCAAGCCCTTAATTTAATGGAGTTTCCGAGAAAATGCCCACTAAATTTCCAAAAACCATAACCACCAAATCCTATCCAGGTGTCATTTCATCAGCCAGCCCCCCTTCAATAAACCAAGGCAAAGAAATGTTGAAGAAGATGAAGCGACTTGGAAGATCTGTCACCAAAATTATAAGTAAAGCCATCAAGAAGAAGAAGAGGAGACTTTCTCAACCTTCTTCTTCATCTCCTCTTCCTCTTCCTCTTCCTCTTCCTCTTCCTCTTCTGCCGTATAAACCCCTTTCATCTCTCGCCAAGATGCCATCTTCCCATCGCGGAGCCTTCCTTTTTCCACAAACAAACTCACCAATCCTTCCTGACCCATCAAACTTTTTCTCCCCTCAACTCCTCTCATCACCTCTCCCCACCAACTCCTTCTTCCAAAACTTCGTCCTAAAAAATGGCGACCAGCCTGAATACATCCACCCTTACCTCATCAAATCCTCCTCCTCTTCCCTCTCCATCTCCTTCCCCTCTCGTTTCGCCACTTCTTCCTTCATTTACCAAACCTTCGTCCCTGACCTTACCATCTCCTCTCCGTCTTCCCAATCTAACCACATCATTTCCTCCTTCAACGATCTCAGTGTAACTCTAGACCTCCCCCCCTCTCTGCGCTGCTTCCTAGTACGCGGAAGTCCTTTCATAACCCTCTCTACCCTTACCGACGCCACCGATCTGTCAATCTCCTCTATCCACGCCTTCCTTTCCGTAGTTCCCAACACCTCCTTCACCAAACACACCTTTCAGCTCAACAGCGGACAGACTTTCCTCTGCTACTCCTCCTCCCCGATCCAATTCCAGCAATCCGCCACCACGCGGCTCACCGCCGCAGCTGGCTTCACCGGCGTCATACGGCTCGCCTTCCTCCCTGACCCAAGCTATGAGTCAATTCTTGATCAGTATTCGTCTTGCTATCCTGTCGCAGGTAAAGCTGTTTTCACCAGGCCGGGGTACGTCGAGTACAGGTGGGAAAAGAAGGGGTGGGGTGATCTTCTTCTTCTCGCTCATCCTCTCCATCTCCGGCTCCTCGACGCCAGCGGATCCGCCAACGTAATTGAAGATTTCAAGTACCGGAGCATCGACGGCGATCTGGTAGGTATTGTTGGTGATTCTTGGTTGTTGAAAACCGATCCAGTGTCGACCACATGGAATTCGACGAATGGCGTCAGCGAAGATGGTGTGCAAGAGATCGTTAATGCCTTATCTAAAGATGTTACTGCTTTGGATTCTTCGCCGATTGAAACGACTTCTTCTTATTTTTACGGCAAGGCGATTGCCAGGGCGGCAAGATTGGCTCTTGTTGCAGAGGAAGTTGGCTTCCCTGATGTAATCCCCGCGGTTCTGAGCTTCCTCAGAACATATATAACTCCATGGCTTGATGGAAGCTTTAATGGAAATGGATTCCTTTATGATCCTAAATGGGGCGGTCTTATAACAAAGCAGGGATCGACGGATTCCGGTGCTGATTTTGGCTTTGGTGTCTTCAATGACCACCATTACCACCTTGGCTACTTCCTTTATGCAATTGCGGTGCTTGCCAAGTTCGATCCATCATGGGGCAGAAAGTTTAAACCTCAAGCCTATTCAATCATGGCAGATTTCATAAACTTGTCTGGATCAAATTATGCCAGATTGCGATGTTTTGATCTCTGGAAGTTGCATTCTTGGGCTGGAGGGCTTACAGAGTTTGCAGATGGGCGCAATCAGGAGAGCACAAGTGAAGCGGTGAACGCATATTACTCTGCGGCGCTCATGGGACTGAGCTATGGTGATGCACATCTGGTGGCGATTGGGTCTACGCTGGCGGCATTCGAGATTGCTGCTGCAGAGACATGGTGGCATGTGAGGGAAGGGGATGGAATGTATGAGGATGATTTCAGTAGGGAGAACAGAGTGGTGGGGGTCTTGTGGGCTAATAAAAGAGACAGTGGGTTATGGTTCGCGCCAGCTGAATGGAGAGAGTGCAGATTGGGGATTCAAGTTCTGCCATTGTTGCCAGTAACGGAAGATCTTTTCAGAGATGTTGGGTTTGTGAAGGAGCTGGTGAAGTGGGCATTGCCGGCGTTGACGAGGGAGGGAGTTACTGATGGCTGGAAAGGGTTTGTGTATGCGCTGGAGGGAGTTTATGAAAAGGAGGAGGCTTTGGCGAAGATTAGGAGTTTGAATGGATTTGATGATGGGAATTCACTGTCAAATTTGCTGTGGTGGGTTTATAGCAGAGGAGAAGATGAGGGAGGGGTGAGAGGTGGGTGGTTTGGTCATTATTGTCACTGATGGATTATGCTTTTTTGTTACTCCTGTTGTGATTTTGTGATATACTCTTGACAGTGATGAGTGCATGTGAAGAAGGGTTGGAGCTATATGAAAGAAACAGAAAGAAATGATTTTGTGTAAGAAAATTTTCACTTTTACTGAAATAAAATTTTTGATTGCCTCATGCTTTTGATATTCATATGGGTTATATTTTCCATTTGGAGAACTTTAAATGCTGGAGTTCTGGGATTTTTCCTGATGTGCTTATTTGTGGTCTTCCATTGTATTTTATGTTGTTTGTGCTTATGTCTGTCTGTTTAGCTTTGTTTCAAATTCCTTTATATTTGGTTCAAATCTTAGTTATTTGTTTTATGATTGGTTTTATTTGGTGTTTATTCATTATCCAATCATAAGTTTTCTCGTTTTTGATGAATGATTTAGTAATATTTTACGTAATTTAAAAGATCGGCCTTTTTTGCTCTAGTCATGTAGTCTTATCTTGAGAACAAATAGAAGGCTTGAGAGTTGATCACTTAGAGTTAAAGTCAATGAAATTCTCAAATATTACTAGTGATTGTTTAGGCTTTCCCATATGAGAATAATAGTGTCAGATGATGCTACTAAATTTGAGTTTTTTTTTTATTTTCTCTAAGATATACTAAGCAAAAATATGGTTGATTTCAGTACTCCTAGGATCAATAATCATTTGGAATGATTTAGCTTTAAAATTCTTGGCCACTTCCATCATCTAAAATTACCAAAATAAGGAATGATTTCAATTTTGTTGCCCAATTGAAGGAGAAAATATTGCATCAGGGCTCCCTGCACGTAGAGTAACGTGCGGAGTCCAATGAAATCACGTCATGTGGCGGTGACATTAAAAAAGTGCCCGGTAAAACAAATGAATATTCCTCTCGTGTTATTCAGGTGTTATTGTGTGTTATTCATGTGTTATTCATGTGTTATTCAGGTGTTATTGATGTGTTATCATAATACTGGGAATATTCTCATAACACAATAACAATTGAATAACACAGAATAACAAGGGGGGAATATTACCTCCACCAGACCAAGTTTTTTTTTTTTTTTTATCACCTCCACATGGTGTGATTTCATTGGACTCTGCACATAATTCTACGTGCGGAGTCCTGATGCAATATTTTTCCCAATTGAAGAATGATTCAATCTATGAAGCTTTGAGCAGATTTAATAACTTGTTAAAGTGGCGTCGTCATTTTTCCATTCTTAGTTGTTTGATAAATTAAAATTTTGTGTAATGAGTTGTTGGTTTCTTTGAGGAGAATTATAGATGTTGCAGCTAGAGAATCTTTATTATCCAAACTTTTTGAAGGCATATTCATTAATAGAAGAAATTACTATTAATAACTTTTAATGGGACTCTTATTAATAAAACTCTAAAAAAGTTACTGGTGTGAATCAAAACCATGGATCAACCATCATTTCTGATTATTATGGAGTCTCTAAATTTTCTGAATCTTATGTTCCAAATGTGGTCATTGAATTTTATGAATAATAGGCAAAATAATTCATTCTCAAATAAATAAATAAAATCCAAGATGGAATAATTGGAAGGTCAATAACCCTTCAAATCCTAGATCTAATTATTCACTAAGATTTACTTCTCAAAATCAATCTGAAGAGAAGAATTCATCTTTGGAAGATTTGAAGCCTGCATAAGGGGACACATTTACTAAGCAAAACTATTGTTATTAAGAACATTAAAATTTAATTATGTCATTTGGTTAAATCATTAACAAAAATACTTCAATAGATTTTATCAAAGAGTATTGCAACTAATCCTAAAGTGAAAAGTAAAAAAAATAATGTGAGATTGTCTCGTTTAAAAAAAAAATAAAGAACTGGAAAAGGTGGTGAAAGATGGTAATATGAAAGAAACTAAAATCGAGTAAAAAATTAATAGAAATTTAAAAATAATGAAAAATTTTGAAAAAGGAAAATTCGAAGACCTTCTCCTTGTTTTTTTAAAGATTTCAAAAATTTGTTCGGAAAATTAGTTCTCTGGATATTTAGATATATTAAAGAAACTAACAATTAATATCTCATTTATTGAAGCTCTTAAAAAATGTCCAATTTTGTAAAATACATGAATGATATTGTATATAAAAGAATAAAGCTAATTTTTAGTAATGTCTTTAATGGACGAATGTCTGGAATTAATATAGAAGAAATTTCTTAAAACAATGAATGTAGTTTAGCTTTCATTGCCTTATAGGAGAAATATTTATTTTGGAAGAGGTTATGCGACTTAGGAGCCAATATCAAATTAGTGCTTTTCTCAATCTTTAAGAAATTGACATTAAAAGAAGTATAACCTACAACAATAACTCTTTAATTGACATATCATTCCTTAACTCATCCTATATGAGTTAGTGATGATGTACTAATTAAAGTAGATACATTTATTTTTCTTATAGATTTTATTGTGTGTGATGTAGAGGAAGGTTAAAAAATCCAAATCATTTTAGGGCAATCAATCATCTTTAGCAGCATGAAGGGCAATGATATATGTTGGAAAAAAGAATTAACTATGAGACTTCAATATAAAAAAAAAATGAAATTTTTTATTATTTATATTAATGAAATTTACCAATGATAATGATAGAGAGTGCTTAAGGATTGATCATGTAGATTTGCATGTGCAAAAGAAAACTAATAAAAATTTGGAGTTGGACCTATGAGGGTATGTTTTATGAAACGAGGAAGTAGATAAAATTAATAATAAATATGCTCTATTTTTAGTAGGTGCCTACAATATTTAAGAAAAAAATTTAGGCCCTAGACATATCATCTTTAGCAAAACTATCAAAACATTTTATTCTAGAAGCACTTGTATTGGAGTTGAAAATACTGCACAAATGTATTAAGTATGCCTTCTTATAAGATTATTCAACTTTTCCTGTAAACATTTCTTTAGATTTGGAAGCAGTTCTAGAAGAAATTTGTTGTGAGTTTTAAGATATCTTAAAAAAAATCATTTGGATAAGCTATTGCATACATAAGAGTAATTAATCCTTCCATATGCATGAACATAACATTAATTGAAGATGATTCTCAACCAAAAGCTGATTAAAAAAAAGGCTAAACCTAGTTATAAAAAAAAGTGACAAAGGAGGGAATTTTGAAGTGGAGGAATAAATGTATTGTTTATCCTATTTCTAGAAGTGATTGGGTAATTAAAAATCCTTTCTCTCTATGTACAAAATCATTAAGGGTTAACCGTGGTATCGAAGGTAATTAATTAACTAGCTCTAGCTAGACAAATCATTGAGTGGTGAATCTGTATAGATTATAGGAAAGTAAGCCATTTCACACATAAAAAGAAAAATCATTGCTCTTTATGAGTTAGATGAAAGAT